TCTTCCTTTGGCTCAGGTGAGGCAAAACCAACCATGTCATTTGCTTCTCCTTTTTTTAATGAAGCAAAATGTTATTTACTCATAAATTGCAGAACAGATCTTTCTGGCTTAACAGTAACACAGAACAGGCTGACAACTACAGTAATTAGGAGGATCCTTCTCACCACTCACTGATGATATTTGCATATTTTGCCTTTATACAATTCACTGGAACAATTTCAATAATGGATGCACAACCCAGCGATTCTGTTTGCAACCCACATTTTCCTTCTATTCAGCTCCTCGAAAGTGAAAATATATCCATTTTTCTTTGCTTGACAGTCTCCCATTTCTTACTTCCTTTCCTTGTAAATGTTTTTCTGGGCTTTAAAAGAAGATGATATTACCAAGGGGACCTTTGCAATCATGACAAAAACAGGTAGCTATTCTCCTTGAGCTGCAACTTAATGTCACTTCTGCTCTTCAGGTAGTCCTTTCTTACAGGTAGCATGCAAGCACTGAAGTACAGCCTATCACATTTGGGATTTTTAGGGTAATGTCTGCATAAATGTCAATTCTACAGCATATTATTTCCCAAAGAACTCACACAAATCAGTACCTTGTGTTTTCATCATAAAACTTGACTTTTCGCATCACAGATGTGTTGTACCAGTCACTGAACACTATAAGTGAAAGTCCATTATCAACATCCCTCCTCAGCTTGGTGATCTCTTCAGGAAAATATTCTTCCTCACTGTCCACCATCAGTAAAGTTCCTGTGTGTAAAAACAAAACCAAGACTTCACCAGGCTGATCATGGTAATGTTATTGCTACTCACACAGCCCATGCAGAAGTCAAAACAAGCGCACATTTTGTACAGTATCTGGTCCATGTGCCCTGCTCTGCCAGCTCACCTAAAGAGGAAACATTGAAGGATGGGAAATATAAAAACTACTAATCAAATGAGGTACAACATAAGAATGGGCTTGTAACACCACCAGCATGGCTGCTGCACAGGAAACACCTGCAAGCTGTTGGAATAACCACACGAGGACTACTAGAAAAGATGAAAAATCAAGTGTACCCAATCCTCTCCTCCACTTAGTGCAACATACAGTAAATATCCTGAACTACTCTGGGATATTATGTAGGAGAAAGCTGGTTCAGGTTTTCCACCCATTTCTCCAACAAAATGATGGTGAACCAGAGGAGAGAGAAGTCCCCTAGTGCTGCTCCCTAGCAGCTATAAAACCAGTGGTCTCAGAAGACAAACTATGTTGTCACTTTGTTAAGGGCTACCATTTCTGTACCAGATGCACAGCCACTGAACTCAAAAACCAACACTGCGATATTTACTGAAGAATCAAGATAAACAAAAGATCACTGCTGACATTTCCAGAACTAGAGAATTGTCAGGAGAATGCACCTTCACTTTACCATCCACTGAAGAACATGGCAGCCCAAAAGAGAAGAGGGTCTTGCTCCAGCATGTCACGGTTAAATAGAGGGGAATGCTGGAGCAGAAAAGAGCAGGGACAGCTTGGTTTGTCCCTTGCCTGGCAAATCTATCAAATCTCCTTCCTAACAAACACAGAAGAAACAAGCCACATACTGCTCTGCAATCACATATGGTTCGATGGAATACTTCCCCCACTCTTTTAAAACTATCCACAAAGATGAGTGTTTTAAAACACCACTGCTGAGGAAAAAAAAAACAAAACCAGAATGGACACTATTTCAGTCTGTTATTCACATCATGCTTCACCTTGACTGTGCCAAAATCTTTCGGGAAATACAGTTCTGCCTTTGTGGGATGGAATACCGAGGGGCTTTTAACCCACTCAGAGGCAGGCTTTCCCTCTCATTTTTTTCATAAGGATAGAAAACTGCAATAATTCTACTAGACTGCCAAGCAAGCTTCTGCAGCCACACTTTACACAACTAAATATCAGCATATAAATAATAAATACACCTACTGTTATAGTATTTTTCTACTACCATGAGAGTTTTTCTTTGCATCCTCACAATATTTTTAGTCTTCCAAAACCCAGGCTATTTTAGGAAGTACTTAACAGTATGGAGAACAAGGCAATTAACTCATGCTTACCATACTGACTTGCATCAAAACATGTAAATGGGGAACCAAGAACCTCAACAAAGTACCCCATGCTCCTTAGATGCTGGTACATGTCCCTGAAGTTTGTGTGGATATGGTCACCATTCCTTAGGAAAAGAAAAAAGTGTTGAAGACATTTAAATCCAGCATGCATAAATCTGATTTAAATCCTCTAATTATAGATTACTTTCTATTTTCCTTTCTAAAAGGTCCATTTTTAACAAATGATAACCTGTAGTTTTCCAAGCACCATCTCCTCTTTGCAAAATTCTTCACAAATGACACTGGTTCCGAGTGCTACAGAGAAGAGTTAGTTATGCAGGCAAAGCCAGAGCCTGCGCACGTCCCTCACAAAACACAATTCCACATGTTTGCATCACACCACAGAGAAAAAATGCTGTATGAAAACCACATGCTCCTCACAGGACTGCCTCCTTGCAGAAAAGCAGTAAGAGCAGTTTTAACCACTAACTGGAAGAAGCAGACAGCAGCACCTGTAATTAATTGCTGAAAGTCAGCAGAGAGTTCCTGTCCATTTGCCATATCTGCATGCTCCAAGTGGTTTTCCAAAGTCTTGGTGACTGATCCAATTTAACCCTCACTCACACACTGTTGTCCAATTCTTCCTACGGATGCTTTCCCTCTCTAAGACATCAGGTCCACTGAGCCTCGCCCTGCTTCAAAACCCGAGTCTCCCTCAACAGACAAGGAGTTTCTTCTTTAGGATTCAGTCTTTCCAATTTCTCGTGTGTTTTTGATAAGTGAATGCTGAAGCAGCTAATAAAGTGCCCCCCCTTAACTTCCTGGGAGAAATTAGGGCAGAGAAGAAAAATGCCACACTTTGAAAGCCAAACAAAAATCTCAGTGTCTTAAATGTGCGTTTTAAGCACTTTTCATTTCATGTGAATAAAGCCATAGAGAAAAAAAGAAAAATCCTGCACCAAAAGCATGCAGAGCCCAAGTGCTTTTCATGGATTTCTTAGAAAAGATAATCCCATGCCACACTGAAAAAGGTCAGAGCTCTCTGGCATTCAGCAAAGCTATCCCGTATCATTAACACACAATCAAGAAATACTGATTTAATAGAACCTGAGATAAATACCAATCTAACGGATCATTCTTCATCCTCAAATTATCCCTGGGGAAGTATCCTGGTGGATAACGGAGATTATGATATTGATCCCAAAGGACTCGCTTACTACGAGGTGGAGTAGGAATAATCTTCACTTTTATTGGAAGCTTCACCATTGAAGTCTGCTCTGCACCATTCTTAGACTGAAGGACAGAACAAACTACAGTGAAATCCTTTTTCCTCACAGGAACATTCACCAGTTAACTGTGGATTGTAAGAGACCAAGAAAACTGAGGTATCAAATGTGCTTATAGTCACCAGTACCAGCTCTGGAGACAAAGAGATTACTTTTGCCTTAAATCACCATAGCATTTTCTCAACAGTTTATATTTGTGCTCAGAATGTAAAAGACTTAAAATATGTTACAACTGTGATTCGGTTCAATTGTTCAAAACCTTAAAAACTTCTCTAAAGAACGATTAAGCATGGTTCTAGAAGAAATATGTTTAAGTAATCTCTTTTTCAAAACACATTATTTAGAATTCACAATAAACAAATGAAATTATGAAGTCGGTCTCAAAGAGAGGTTTTCTGATTGTAAAGCACATCCAAATCACAGGTTAGTCCTGCTCTCAACTACAAAGATCATTATTTGTACCCTCCAATTTCCTGACACAATTTGTACTCTTCAATTTGCTGAAACAATCTTAACTTGTTTCAAATGACAGGACCAGAGCAACACCTTAAAAAGAAGGTATTTGTATATTGGGAACCAGTTTTAATAACTGTTAACACAGAAAAACCAAAATGAACAGAACTTACTTCATTTTCTGCAGGGGATGATACCGTGATCATAACATGACCTTGAGCAATGCCTTCCCAAGACGCTGCTTTCTTGGCTACAGAGATGGAAATTGCTAAGTATCCAGACCAAGGCCACAACGCAGGGGAATAGGAGAAAGCCACTTCGATATTGTCCCCATTTTGGGGGAGATAGGGTTGCCAGTCTGGCTGTGAAACGAAGAACATAGAACATCAGTAATACAGGATTTGCAGTCACTAATTTCAGGCACGCAGCCCTCTTCCTTTGCACAAAGAAATAACAAATCTTAGCTTTTCTGAAGATTATGTCCAATTTTTAAATGTCCACAAAGCCCAAAAGGTTGGTGCTGTGTCAGTGAATCAACCCAATCGTGACAGCCCTAATGATCCAGCTTTCCAGAGGCAGGATTCTCCAAGAAGCTATCTGAACAGCACGCTGCCTAACTGCACCTGTTTTAACATTTTGGGGTCCTGAGCAAAAATGTATTGGTAAGAACACAAAATATCCTTTCAGTAACAAAGAGAGCTATTGCTATAACAGACACAGGGAAATTACATAGCTGTGTCTGAGAATTATCATAAGCTTATTATGTTGCATAAGAGCTTCAGTGCCCTTTAATGTAAGCTTAAATCTAAAACAGACCTCAGGATTCACACTAAAATATTGAAATTAAGCTCATTTACATTGGCTAGAGTTTTGGGATAGGTGTGTTCTTTAACTTGTATCAATTCCCAAATCTGTCCTACATTTGAACTTACATAATGCTTAATAAAAAAAAAAAAAGAAAATGAAAAACCTCCCTAAGTCAACCAACGTGCTCAATATCACTGGTGTAAAAGAACAGGTTTTGCAGCACACCTTGGTAAGTCAATACATTCAGGTCATTTTGACCCATGATTCATAACGTCAGGATTCTTTACGAAGATTGCTTATGCTCCAGACCAAAAAAAAAAGACAAGGAAAGTCTATCCAGAAGATTTTAAATGCTACTGAAGAAAACAAAGAAATCTCTAAGTACCTATCAATCCAAACTGGTTTTACAAAGATAAAACACTACACACCCCTGAAACCAACGCACTGCTTGAAAACTTGCTGACAGCTCATGTTGACAAATCTTACATCTGCGTGTGTCCTTGAAGATGAAACATCTGGCATCTCTTTCAGTAGTAAGAAATCTGATTTCTCTTACGAAATTCATAGCTAAAAGTTATTTCTGGGAAGCTTTTAGCAATATTAAGAGTCAGGACTTGGAACAATGTGAAGTCTTACCTTGTCTACAATTCTCCCAGTGACTCCCATACCATTAAGGATAGTAACATTCACAATGGTTGGCATCCCTCCATAATATATGGGCTGAGAACAATAGGGCCACATGTAGGGACATTCCGTCAAGTCAATATAGCTTGGACTTAAACTACAGTAGGATGGAGGAGGTAAAATTGAAAAAAAAAAATCAATAAACAGAAGAACAAACCACTAGACATAACTATGAAAAAATTACAGATAAAACATGCCAGTTGGAGTTACTCTATCAAGCTCTCACCTTGCTTTCCAAATCTGCCCCAAAATCTTCTTCCCTCCCCTGTAATCTTTTTTTTAATTTAAAATTTTGTGAAAAGATTTTCATACACAAAAAAATAAACTTTTCAGCACAGTGAGAATGTTCTTATTCTCAAAAGTTAAAATTTAAGTACTTTTCCATTGTGTTCCTCAATGTTATGTCCATTATTCATAACACCTGAGGCTAGAAGAGAAAGTTTTAGTTCTCAGAGACACTTCATCCCCTACACTGCTATAACTTAAGACAGAAAATACTTGGACTTCTTATCCATTCTCTTGTCAAAATTCATGCTTCAGGATCACATAAAATCTGGGCAAGTTCCCTTTGTTGCATAAGCACAGATTGCTCAACTGAGTTACACATGCATCACCTGCTCTCTTAAAAGCAATACAGCAGATTAGAGTGTATCATTGATTAAGGATTAAAATTAACCTGGCCTGTGGTTTATAGCTGTTGAGGATCTGATAAGCTCTCAGAAGATCCAACTTGCCATGTCCTTGTTCAAACATGTTGACTCCAGGAAGCCTACGTGCTGATGCAATAAGTGCCTGCTTCATACTTGCTGGATTCACCATTTCACGCTTCTGAACTGTGCTGAAATGGGAAAAAAATAGATCACATCAGGTGGTCTTTATTCTAGTTTGTAGCTTGTCTTGTTTACCATCCTGCCTTAACAGTCATTTGATTTAAAGAAAATGCAATGAAAAATCAGTTTACTGTGAGCAACATCTTCTGTTCATATTTGTTTATTATTACTTGATTTCTCACTGGAACAGCTAAAGAGTGACAAGTTTCTGACACATTTCTCTTAAATTAAAACTACTATTGTATTAATTTTTCTCCTTACAATGTACTCCATGACCAGCAGTCATTACAAGCAGGGAAGTATCTTTACATGCTAAATAAAATACTCAGAAAATCAAAATCTCTGTAACTGGAAACTTTGTGGTACCTTTTGCAACATGACTCTTCCAAGGGGTAAAAAATAGCTTTGTTGTTCAAAGAAAAATGCACCATTTCATGAAGGAAATACGATGACAACTTTGAATTTCTGGCATGTTCCTCAAATAAAAGCTCGTCTCATCCTTATGTAGTAGCACTGACAAACAGCAAGTACAGACTTGTAACTCTCACCTTCCTTTCAAGTTCTTCAGTGTACAACAGATGACTTATGCAACCAGATAATAGACATAAAACCCAAAATCCTATAAAATTTGCAAGTACTTAGATAATTATCTGCTGCAGGTGCCTACTTTGAGCAGCTGCTTTTCTACAACAAAACTAACAGAAGCTTAGCAAGCCAAAACGAGACAAAATTACTTCATAGTACTGTTCTCCCTAGTTCTATTTTCAAAGATGTAACTATTATTCAAAACAGTTCTCAAGTTCTTCCCAGGAAACTTAGAAGTAGTCAGACAAGGTAATGTCTCAAGCAGAAGAACTGAGATTTTTATCCACCGAGTCTGTTTTCCTACATCTAAACACAATTTAGTTTTACTTGGTGGGTTCATCTTTTAGAGGTTCTTATTTCAGACTTACCTCACTAACAAAGTAACAGCACCTGCAACCACAGGAGATGCAACGCTTGTCCCAGAGAGAGAGCGGCATCCACCTTTCATACCAGAACCTCTCACTCCAGAGCCATACGTAACAATATCAGGCTTCACTCTACCATAACCTCCAGGCAGCTCCTGTGAAAGAAAATTAGGATATATTATTGTTAATGAACACTGGTTGCTTCATTTGGGCATTTAAATTAACTGCAGGTCATTCAGAAGTAAAATTATCAACTAAATTAGGCAAGGTTCAGCATCACAGAATAGCAAGCTGTTTCTGACAAGTTCTCAGTGTTTTAATGTTAACATTACTGCCAATTACTTCAGGATCTATGCTAAGCATGAAATCGGTGACAAAATGGTTTCAGGACAGGGAACTGCTTGAGAGAGTCCAGCACAGAGCCACCAAGATGATGAAGGGAGTGGAGCTTCTCCCTTATGAGGAAAGGCTGAGGGAGCTGGGGCTCTTTAGCTTGGAGGAGACCGAGGGGAGACCTCCTTAATGTTTATAAATATGTTAAGGGTGAATGTCAGGAGGATGGAGCCAGGCTCTTCTCAGTGATGCCCAATGGTAGGACAAGGGGCAATGGGTGTGAGCTGGAACACAGGAGGTTCCGCTTAAACTTCAGAAGAAACTTCTTTACAGTGAGGGTGACAGAGCCCTGGGACAGGCTGCCCAGGGAGGTTGTGGAGTCTCCCTCTCTGGAGACATTCAAAACCTGCCTGGACACCTTCCTGTGTGATCTCATTTAGGTTCCTGCTCTGGCAGGGGGGTTGGACTGGATGATTTTTCGAGGTCCCTTCCAATCCCCAACATTCTGTGATTCTGTGAAAATGATAACCACATTGCTACCTGGCTAATGAATGAGATGCAGCACAAACAGAAACATACAATAGATCCCTTACACAAGATCACAACGCAGTCTTATCTGAAATCATGTGTGCAGTACCCAGCACCTCAGATCAACAGGCAAAGAAGTGCAATGTTAGATGCAGCATCTGGAAATCCTAGGATTTTTGCAGATTTAACCACACATGCAAGTCCTCACTGTTAATCAAAAGGGACTGGACATTTTACAAATACATCAAGAATGTTCGTAGTGGTCAAGATTAATGATGGGAAACCCTGACAAGAACATTAAGCTTCTTGCTTGAAGATTTATAATCTTTAAGTATTCTGATCTTTGATGAAATCTTTTATCACTGGTTGCTCCAACACATACCACCTGCACAGGATTAACCCTTCAAAAAAGGCTCCCTTTCCAAGGCCCTTATTTTGGCTGCAGATGTGCCTGGCCATAGTCAAAGCATCTTACCCAAGTGGTCATTCCCCTAGATGAAAAGCGAGCTATATTATCTTCAAAGTCAATGCCACCTACTCCAATCACATCCATCTGGTCAGCAGGGTTATTGAGAGTCCTAGAACAAGTTGGGAGATGGAAAGATTAAACAAAAAAAAAGAAACTAAAAAAGCCCACCACAGTTATAAGTTTATTTTGATAATGGACACACTGACATCAGATTTCTGTCAGACACTCTTTTTAACCTCCACAGAAACAAAGTCTGGTCCTACGTGATACAGTTATACTTACCAGTGAGAGTAACCTTTCAGGCAGTTAGTAACTCAGTAACTACCAAACCATGTATCTTGAAGACAAAACAAAATCTTTTTTTAGGCATTTGTTTTAGAAATCTACTACAAATCATTCTGGTTTGATCCCTTCTATATTCCTGAAGCCCAAGATCAGTACCCAAAGATATCTGCTCACACTAACAGGGAAATGACAGCTGGAAGTACTGCCATTTTTCTTTTACTGACTTACTACTGCTTCAATGAAAAATATTTAGCTAAGTTAAGTAGCTCATAAAATGCTGTACTACTACAGCAAGATAAAGACAGTGGAAAGTGGGAGTTTAACTTGAGTCACTTTCTATAAACAGATTACAGCAAAAAGGAAGAGGGAAAACTTCCTGACCAAGCACAACTACTTCCACAAACATATAATAACAACATATTTGCTTTTCTTTGAAGTGGTCATTGAAACTTACCCGTACAAAGGGCCGTCATTGCCAATAGCAGAGACCATGATGACGTTGTTAGCCGTCAGTTCCCAGACCTACAAAAAATAACGTTTACCATAAGGCTCTGCCACAAAAAAAGAGACTTTTCCAAGAAATGTACACTCCATGAGGCCTGACATAAGGGAACAATTAGTCCAACCCCTCTTTCTTTACTGAGACCTATAAAATACATCTTACTGGTATACTGAGTATTAAGCTCCAAACTTTCTTAAGATTATGTGACCAATAACCCAGCCTCGTCAGCAGCACTGCTGTTAATATGTATTTAGGTTATATCAAAGGAAAAACTCCTGCCCATAACAAAGCACTCCAGATGCCAAAGTCAAGTTATTCTGAATCCCCTCCAGTAATACTCTGGGGAGAGTAGTGAAGTCACTGTCAAACTAAATTTCAGTGCAGGTTATCATTAAAAAAAAGAAAAAAATTCTATGCCTCAAATCCCTTAATTACCCTTTACAAAGAAAGATTTTATTCTTTTTTAAAATGTAAATTAATTCACTCAGTGCTTCTGAAGGACAGATCAACAATTCGGGGAACCATGACATTTATGAAGACAAAAACCTAATTCCTGAAACAAGTATCGCATACCTGAATCAACTACCTGTACTTTTTACCTATTTCTTATTAAACGATTTGCTGTTAAATTCACTATACATACTTTTACCATAAAATACATTAACCATGCAGAGATTTAAAAAAAAACCCACAAAGGTAGATTTCAGTTAAGCTTCTATTAAGGGCCCAGTTAGTTGCCTGCTTGGGAGTCCCACTTTCTAGCAGTACATGCAGCATTTTGTAAAAGGGCAAGCTTCCATAGTCTCTGAATATCTGGGTTGTGTCTGTTGGGGTTTTTTTTAAATCCATTCCTTAAATATATTCCTAAAAGCCTGTACACTGTAAAAAGCTTCTCTCATGCAAATGGAACTCCACAGAAACTGTCAGCAGCACCAGAACCTGTCAGCAGCTGCAGCAAACAATTAGCTCTGTGAGTCCAGCATTTGTGTGAGGGATATAAATACCATGACTACTTTATTTCTTTCTACTAACCTTGTCAACAAACGGATGATCCATGAAGTCTGGTCCACCAATACTTAGATTCAATACATCTATCTTCTTTAAAATTGCATAATTAAAGGCATCCAGAAACCAAGATGTATATGAGACCTACGTAAGAAAGAGGGGGGAAAAAAGCTACCATTGGAAAATCTAGTGATTCCATGACAATACAGACTTCAGATAGAGAGGAGAAACAACACCAAAATAAACTACAGAGGTGCCAACAGTCTCCTAGTACTCAGTTACATCTGAGTGACTGATCCAACACTACACAGAACAGACTTCCACACATTATTTCTGAAAAATATACCAGATTTGGAAACTGTAAGACATCTTGTAGTAAGTTTCTTTTAAATAGAAAGATGTATCCTTCTCACTTATCAAAGAAAATAAGTCAACAATCACAAGTACCTGTAATATTCACAAAGGAAAGGATTAATACAGCATTAATCTGGAAAGGCAGAAATTGAAACACATGTAAAATAGTTACCTGGTTATTGGTGAACACTCTAAAAATGTGCAGTTCTGCATTTGGAGCAAATCCCTGGCATTCTCTCATGCTGGCTATCACACCTGCTACGAAAGTCCCATGGCCTAAACCTATCACAGGGAGAAGGAAACCAAATAAGATGTTAGAAGACAAACTCTTTCATTGTCAAGGACTCATACTGTTAAACACTGTCTACACCAAAAATCACATCAATCTAACAAACTTTACAACAAACTGCAAACACTAAGACCAGTCCCAGTCTTGAGTCATATTTTAGCACTTGGTTCAGTGGGGCCAGAACTTCCAGCACTGCGTAGCCAGACAACCAGTCGATGAAACTCTAATGCTACACTCCCCAGTCTACCCACTCCTGATCAATGCCAATGAAATCAAGGTATACACACAGCAATCAGGAGTGAAAAATGATTTTGGAATAATGCAAGGCCAATGTATTTTTATGGAAACTGCTTTAAAGATTTTTATCCTGACTCTGCAATAACCATATCTTGTTAAGGATGAAAAATAAGACAAGAAAACACTTTTTTTCCTCTCCTAAGAAAATAATTTAGCTTTTGCTTTATGGGATTGCCTGCATTACATTTCTGTATTTCAAATCTACCTGTCCAGCAACCATCTGGGCAGAGAACTAATAAAAAGTACTACCAAAAGCAGGTGCTGCAATGCAAAGAAATACTACGTATGATTCAGGTGCACACGAGACTGAGCAAGATATACCTTGAACTCCGAGGGGGTTAAATTGCCAACTGACTCACTGACCCAGACTGTATGAAGTTAATAATCTGTGAATACAGTCAGGGCAAGGTAGGGTCAACATATGAAAAAGGAACACAAACATACTGAAGAAAATAAAAAGTTCTTTGGAATGTTGATGGGCATGAGCCAGCACAGTGTGTGTTGATGAAAATTTATATAGATTTGAAAAAATCTCACAGGAAGCTGCCAAAACTCTCATGAGTTTAGGACTGCACAGTAAAGAAGGAAATGTTCTCTCATAAGAATGGAAATAGCTATGCAGTGTGAAACAGCAGAATACATCAAAAAGAACAGGAAACAACCAGTTTTGTGGGGTTTGCTCTCACCTCCTCCTAATCTGACAATGTACTTATGCTTCCATAACATCTTCTTGCCCTGACATTTTTCAAAAACGATGATGAAACGCCACATATGATTCAAAGGAGACTTATGCAACATCCTTAACCTTAATACTCTTTGTAGAATTTGCTACGAGTACAAAGTGCTCGGTACATTGCAAAATTAAGCTTAAAATCGCAAGAGAGACAGTTTCAAGTTTCAGTTGTGATGTTAGCACCACAGCAGCAATGACAGTTTTACAACAGAAAACAGAAAAGGCCGGTGTCAGGGACAGTTGGACAATTGTGCACAGTAACTCACCGTCATCCAAGGTTCTCTCATTAGTCCAGTTTGTTCTCTCCTTTACATTTTTGAAATGTGGATGTTTCTCACTCAGACCAGTGTCAAACACTGCTACTCTCACACCAGCACCTGTAATAGAACAGCACTGCTTCTTGTGATTCAGCTTTACAGCAACTCCATCAAGACAAAGAAAACTTTTATGCTTAATGTAGCATGCAATTTACAAGCTCAGTAAATTATAGATTTTAAAGAAAACTCATATTCCAATTCATTCAATTCATTCCAATTCATTCCAATTCAAATTCAGCTTACAGATTATAAATATGACTGATTTCTCTTAAGTGCAGTACACACACACACAGAAAAGCACTCTGTAAGTGCACAACATATCTCAAAACAAAGTATATCTCAATTTTTCTGGAACTGGCACCCAATGAGAGATTAACACACAGGAGCCAATTAGCCTTTCCTTACACTTCATTTGTTTTTTCAAATTGCTTTCAAAGGAGGCAGTTGTTCTAAGCCAACAGACAAACAAAAGCATACCTGTGTAACCCATCTGCCAGAGGACATCTGCCTGCAAGGTCTGAGCAACTTGGCGTGGGATAGCTCTCAGCAAACGCCTGCTTGAGTGTCGACCTGTAGCATGCCAGAAGCCAGAACCTAAAGAAAGACTTGCTCTTCTCAAGGGACGAGATGACTGCCATTTCTGAGTCCACCTGGTTTCATTGCAGTGCAACACTGGATCAGCTACGCAGAATTAGGACGAAGAAGAGAAAAAACAGTATGAGAAAAAACACAAAAGAGCAAATTCTTATGCAAATATACACATCATACTGTTATAACAAAAGTTTTAGATGAATGACTATCCATTTCCTCTAAGCAAAATCAGTAAAAGCTTCTGTTTTATCTACTACAGACAGAGTGGTCCACAGTTCCAGGTAACTGACTGCTGCAAAAGAAACATTCCTACATTGCCACACTTTAGCAAAGGTATGACAAGACCCTGATCATTTTTTTTAGGCAAAAGAATAGATTTCTGTAAAAATAAAGAAAAACTGTAAGGCAATTCCCATTTGTGTAATGTCAAGCTGATGGTCTGAAATAACGCTAAAATGTTTCCAAAGCAGATCTCATGCAGCCACGCTGACAAATACTTACACTCCAAATATTTGAGTGACCGGAAGACCTTCCGCTGAGGTGTTACACGCTTGATGTTTGGATGATCTTCCAGTGTCAGTACTCCAGCTTTCTGTTTCTCATTGATCTGAATAACTTCAAAATCACTAGGATAGTCACTGGCTGGGTTATTTCGAGGTACAATCCTCCAGTTCTCAATATCACTACTTTTTAGTGCACTTGAAATAAATTTACTTCTAGCTTTAGCTGTGAAGTATCCATTAAAAGCCACAATATACTCTGGAACAAGAACACGACTTATCAGAACTGATGTTTAAGCAGCTCACTCATGCATTCACACTGCAAACATCCAAATATTTCCTTGTTTTTCTTTAACCACAACAAATAATAAAAATCTGAGGCACTTTGTTGCTTTTAGAAATCTGCAATTTATTTCTGCACTACATAATGCTTTTGGGTTTTTTTTCTCTCTTTTTTTCCCCATCAGGAAACCTGCAAAATATGATAAAAACCTTTGAAAGGAAGGTAGAATTGTAAATATCAATTTATTTACACAATAAATTGATGGGAGAGGGAACAGACTTACTGTTATATCCAGCAGTATAAACTGCTTGCCATGCCAATTCAATATGCTGCTCGACATGGATGATTTAAAGAATGAGTTTTAGAGCAAATTACTGCCAGCTACACACAGAGAACGAAGCTGGTCCCAACACTCTGGTCCTTGATCTGCATCAGTGATTTGTGAGCAGTCCTCAGCCCCAGCACACGCCACAGCATTCACGTCATTAAGTCTTTGTCTAATTACACACAGAAATGTTCCCAGACATCCTGCCTGTAAGCACCCAGCACACACAGCTTCACTGTGGGAATATTCCAGGTAGCTCAGGCAGTAAGTGGACGCAGGGTGAAGGTGTCCTACTGCTGTCCTCTGTCATCTCAGCAGTGATATCTGCCTCATTTTGCCTTTTACCTGCTCCCTTCACAATTACCTTTGCAATTTTTCCACACACGTGTTATTGCTTCCAAACTTTTTACTGAACAAACCCACACCTTCCTCACCCCTTCAAGGCTCACTTGGGGTTATGTTTCATAAAAGAGCCTCAACCACACCACCGGCCAGGTCACAACAGCTACTAAACACACCAAAGTGACCAGGTCTGCCCACCTGAGCCTTCATCCTCCACTTTCAATTTTAATATCTTTATTTCCCCCTGTCTTCCTTCTCTTGTTCTTTGAATCTTGTCTCCAGTTAAACCAAGAACCTTTGAAAAAATCTGTTTCTCTTTTTGAATAAAGAGGATTTAGCAGACGATATGCTTCTACAGAAACTCTCTGGATGTTACCATTGCACAAACACCACAAATCAGTAACATACACTTGAAATTCACAGGGTTTGGGGATTTTTTTTTAACTGCTTAACTCTTTTATTACCATGCTCGACGACTGTCGAAGTGAATTCCACTTTCAAAGTAAGGCGAGAACATCCAGGACATATGTGAGCCTCATGAGAGGAATTCCCTAGTCTGGTACTGAAGTGTTTTTTGCCACAGAGTAAAATAACAACCAGAACAAACCAGATGTTTGCAGACTTCATGGTCATAGAAGAAAATATTTCCATTCCAAAAATTCCGTATATTCAAACCACAATTTTCTTCTTTATAAAAACTAGTTCATTTTTGTTTCAGTAAACGTTGCTTTCACTGTGCCGATCAACTGGATATTCTTAAAGCTGCTTTCAAAATAAGTAGAGATTTCATGGTCTTTCCAGGTTCAGCCTTGTCAACAGGCTCATTTCTTTCTCCGCTTCTTCTCCATTTTGTATGGAAGGATGTGGTCACTCGGGATGTGGTAGCTGAGTCCTGTACTCCATTTCTGATGGCAAAGTTAACTCCCTGGAAGAATTAGCAAAGCTGACTGCAAGCCAACCTGCAAAAGGCAGGGCAACAGAAAAGAATTAGATTCACATTTGTGCAGATGTATAGCCTGAAAATCACAAAAGACAGACAGCGTTGGCAGTTTCAGTATTAGAAATAACATGGGAAAAGTTGTTCATATGTTTCATTTAGTAATTTTTCACAAACATTCAAGTCTCTTCCTGGCTCACCCAGAGCACATGTGGAACACTTAGACAACAGAATAGGCAACAGTGACAACCAAACTCTACCAACCTTTGTGTAAGGAGAGCAAAGAGAACAAAACAACACGTCAGGCCCATGGAAAGGAAAAAGGAAAGCGCAAAATAAAATACTAACATGACAAAAAGTGCCCACAGACACCTAAAAAAAGCTTTTTTTCCCCCATCAGAAATGTGGCAAATAGAAATTCTGCTCTGGTACCTCATTTTACACGAGGACAATCAGACTCAAACTCTACGACAAGGGCTGGTAAGGCAAAGAGATACGACAGGAATCAAACTTTCAGTCTCTGTGCTTGTAAGAGAAAATCAGCATGGAAAAAGTTTTTCATATTATCTTGAGGTGGAATGCGAGTTGTACAATGTGGGCACCCAAGAAAATAAGGGCTGGTATCACAGATGGAATAATGTGAATTTAAAGGAAATTGCTGAAAGTGCTTTTCCAATGGAGGGGAAGCTTCTTCCCTTTATGTTCCAAGGTGCAGAAAATATTCAAGAAAAATTGCAATGCTATTTTTTTTTTTTGTTCCAAACATTTAAGCAGGAATCGTTACATAAAAAGCCACTAAGAGATGTGCAAAGAGAAACATTTTCATCTGGTCTGTCACATCACAAGAAGCAGCAGAGCAGAACTATACATCAATGCAGTGAGCAGGACCGAAAAGTAAGAGCCTTGTCAGGGGATTCACACGATTTAGAACAATGGGCTGACCTCACAGCACAACAGAATGAATCAAATCTGCACGTGACAGCTACCACTCCACTTTTATTTAGTTTTATTTGGCATTCTCAAGCATTTCCTTGTAGCAGCTATTTCTAGCTGACTGACAACACCACGACAGACTGTGATAACAAAGTTTCCTCTTCATCCCTTAACTAGACCCAGGTATAGTACACTGATTGCTGATCTGGGCGGAGCTCTGCCTACCTTATCACTTTATTGGCTTATAACCCCTACAGCAATAAAATAAAAAAAATCAACTAGACAAATGAGTAAAAATAAACATTCTCATGGCTGATAACAGATTGTATGGAAGCAGGATGCTGAAATATGATAGAAATAAGAGCAAGGGAACAGCACGCTCACAGCTTTATTCTGTTTAATGCCCTCAACACACGGAGCTGGACAGGACCTGAAGTTGCCACCCCCAGAAGAGCTCGGCCCGGAGCTCCCCCTGCTCCCCCCGAGCGCGGGTTCCCCGGAGCGAGCGAAGGGACCTCGGCAGCGACCGCGGCCGAGAGCGGCCCA